AGAAAATTAGAACTTTATTAGATCTAATGCAAAGGCTAGCTGCACACAGCTCTACTCTAGCCAAATACAACTATTGAAGAACTTCTAGAGCGAACGAACTGAATAGTCTAAAGTTGCCAGCGTATATTCATTTTATACCAGTCACAGCCACAATCAGCATAGCGTTATTCTACTTTAATTTACGCATAGTCAAATTATTATTAGTGGCAACATTTTACAGCGGACCATCATTAATCCGATTTGGGAACAAGTACAATATTTTCGTAGATATTATTCTTGGCAGTCAAAGTACGGTAAACTAAGCATATCCTAATATATGGATTACAGTTCTATTCTTACCTCTAGCCTTAATAGTAACTCAACATCTTGCTATATATAGTCATCTATACTATAGCATAGAATCTACCACTGCAGTCCATAGTAGCGAGCTACCAAATACATCTTAAGATAAATATAGAAAGTCGTGCTTTCGTACATCTTACTAACATGGCTAAAAGTCTACGATCACAATACTAAGTTTCGTTACAGTAATCAATGCAGCATACTGTAGATATAGCATTTAATTCTTAAGATAAATAACACTCATACGAACAAAAAATTCTTTATGCCTATGATTCTGTTCAGTAAATGAATCCATAATTTTATTTGCTTTATTATTTGAAATCGTGCTACTAATAAATCAACAAACTAAGAAGAGAATAGTTCTATGAAAGTGAAGTAATAAAGATAATAGATATCGATCTTCATTTTTCATTTTTAGGTCAATACAACAATGCTCTAGTAAACTAATGACTCCATTATATAATTTGAGCTATAAATTTGAATATCATACATATCTAGTAGTATCAAAGTTAAACTACTGAAATGTAGTCTAATCATATTATAGTTTAAACATTTGGTGAAATGTAAAAATTGTATTTTACTTGCATAAATTTACGTAATCAGTTAATCTTATATTGAAATCTCATAGCTGATGCGTATCTAAGCTAGTGTCTTATGAGACTGCTTGGTAATTACGAGCAGTTTATAATTTTTCAAGTTAAAATTTAATTTTATACCTACAGTCATTGATCGTTATGAATTAGGAGTACTAGTGCAAACTCCCGTCACTTTGCTGACGGTTTACGATAATGTGCTCATTTAACAGATAGTATTACCATTTGATAGACCTGTCAGAGGTTCAGTAACTTTTTACCGTTATCCGTGTACTGTATGCTGTACAAAAGTACTGTACTGTACAGTCCGTGTATTTAAATTCAATTTATGTAGCTTTACTACTTTTCTGTTATTTTAAGTAAGATGATCGCAATAAAAGTTAATTTATACCACCATGGGTGTCAAAATTTGTGGAGTAATAGTGCCAATTAAAAAGATTTCGCGTAAATTTAAAACTATATTTTGCTAGTCTATCCTGGTTTTAATTCGTCTTTTCTCCCCATAACTTTGTATTCCTGTTATTCAATTATCCAACTACCATTAATTTACCTATATTTTTTGCGTATAGTCAAGCGTATCAACGTTTAAGAAGAGAAATAATATCAAGATATAATTTAATAATGGCATCGTCATAGTTCTTTTTATTTAAGTTTTAATACCTATTGATGGAAGTACATAACGCTTATCATTATATTATCTCACTAGGCACGTATTAAGCACTGGCGATTTAATGTAATGCTTGTCTGTCTTTATTGTATTACTTGTTATAAAAACATTATTCACCAAATACTTACTCTTTTATCGCCTATGCGTAGAGTAAAAGGCGTTTACTACTGTATACACTTGTCACGGTACGAACTACCGTGAAGAAATAGCTATCTAAATTTGGTTAATATATTATAGTGATAATATATTACAATTAGTTACTTACAATAAGAATTATTCTAATTATAAATATGTTACAGTGATGTACTGCAATGTGCTCTGAAATAATTCTGTGAATGGACATATTGTAGTCCGACTGTGAAAAACTAGTTAGTAGATGTTCTCACCTAAGTATTTTTATAAGATGACTTGTGAATGTTAGCTGCTGTAGAAGGGTATATAAGCCCGTCAGATAGTTGAATAACGCAGTTCTCAATTGTCTAGTTGTTTTAACGTAGAATCAAAGGCGTCTAAATTCTTGTGAGGTAGTTAAGGGATACTGAATTCCGGAAGACTATAGTAACTTAGAGATTTTTTTTACGTTATCCTTGTCACGAAGCTGGTTTGTGACAACACTGGAGTAGCTGTAATTATGCTAATACTGTACTTCTATAGCTGCTAAAGATGTCGCGGCATTTGCAATTAAATAGTACGTTGTTTAACGAGATTTAATTTAAGCAATGAGGTATAGCTCTTTACGAAATAGACATGTATTCTTATAATTACTGGAATAAATTTGATTTTTATATTAATAGTTACTCTAAAATTTTGGATTAAGTTTATTGGTTGGAGGCGCTATTGACACTTGAGATTGAGATCTAATGATTCAAGTAAATCAATCATTTAGTGTCTGAATGAAAAGTGTAAATAACTCTTCATTTAACGACCACAATGATAAAAGCAAAGGTTAATATAAATCAGAATTATGGTATCTTACAGATTACTAATTTACTAACTTCAAATAAAAAGTGCAGATTCTTTTGTAGAAGCTATATTTATTATTTAGACCAAGCTAAAGTATAAGGTATATGAAAATACGACTTATTGAATCTATTTATTGCCTGAGTCCTTGAAAGTACGAATTAATTTTACTACAATATATATAATGTTAGTCTTAAGATCCATTCTACAGGCTGGAGATTTTCAACCAAAAAGATGCTTTTGAAAGAATAAATTAAATATTGCAATGGTAAGTGAAATCATAACAATAGCCTGAAATTTTATCATTTCTATATTTTACAGGCAAATGTATTACTTTGAACTAAATAGCTTCCAAATTAATTCTGGAATAAAGGTTAAATTAAAAGAAAATCTGCTATTTATATCACTTCACAGTTATGCTATTCTGTCTTACAAGATTAATTAATAATCAACATTGCATTGGTACATTGGATGTTTTCTTGTTGTAGCAATGGAACGTATCTTTAATAACTTTCAGCATCATGATTTATAAATTCGCGAGTATATACTAGAAATCTGAATCAGAAATTTACAATGAATGCAGTGATAATAAATCCATATTGAACTATCCTTCATTATATTACGGGTTGTAAAGTACTTGATAAATTCTCAATATGCTGTGCACTACAATACATCCATTCGTATGGCTAATGAGCAAAATTCATGCATTGATTGCTTAAGAATTGAATTTTTCACTTTTTTATATTTTCCTTTCAATTTTCGATGCAAATAACACTATTAAAAAGTGAAGAATGGCATTCAATATGAGTTATTAGATTTTAAATTTAAAATATCTTTGTAAAATGATAATTTGATTAAATTGCTATTCAAATTCCGTTCGATATTCATTTATGCTTTTTAATGTTCTATTGGAATGATTTACGCCCAGCTATGAAGCTAAAAGAATAACACAATATCTTATTTTCATTACAGGTAGATATCAACGACCTTTAACTTTCAACTGTTATGCGTTCAAAATTTATTTAATTTTATAGATTGGAGCAACTTTTTTCAGTTTGACATCCTGATCGTTTTAAACAATCAATTTTAATGAGTATTATTAGAAACAGTAAATTAAAATTTCATGGATTATGAAAATGCGAAATAAACTGCTGGAAATTTTGCTTAGACATGAATAATATATATGTTATATATACAATATATATATTTATAATTATCATTCATTAATTATATTTTTATCGCATATTACTTACAGAAGACTGGTTTACTTAACTTAAAGATTAAGACCGAAGCAGTATTGTGACTAAACTATTCTTTGATTACGGCGATTATAAACACTTATAGCAAATTCTTACATACTGATTAATGTTAGTTTCCTTTTATGATAAATATCGTAAAATCATGAGTGCTCATAGTACAGAAGTTAACTAACTTTAGATAACCGAAATATACAGTTTGATCATACAGAATGATGAGATAGTAACGAAACAGCTAGCCTACTCTAATTTTCGTTCCTTTTATTAATTTTATAAATATCTATAAATATTTAACATGCGACTGCGCATAACAATATTATTTTATGGATTACGGGTATAACATCGCTTTTATTCATCTTTACATCCTGGATATTCTTGGACTAGTCTAAATAAAGTCATTGTTTTGCAATTAATTTCAAGAAATAGACTGTTGATCATAGGCTTGCGCTGCATACGTCATGTAGCGGATGCAGGATTCTATTCAAATATCTTTAGACTTTACAATTTGTCCTATTAGACTTCAATACTTTCTACTATTATCTTCATTTGTCCTTGCTATTATGATGCATTAAACTGCATTACTACTATGCGATAATAGTTATTTTCCCTCTTTTTGCCACTAACTAGGTATTTATTGTTTCTTTTCTATAGGTAAGATCATTTTATTCATAATAGAAGCGATTTCTGCTGTTACAATAGGAATAACTAAAACGCTCACGTCATTTTTAGTCGATCAATTATTCTAATGGAAAATAAGCCCTCAATATATTGTACCTTTGTGAAAGTAAAGGTATTATTGTGTACCCATTCATGATTTTATTTCTTTTACCGGGTGACAGATTATAATATCTATGAATACAACCCTCCGCAGACATAATGTAATAGAATCTCTGTATCAGTGACGAAGCAACATTTAAAATAATTTATCCTCCTGATCAATTTGATTTTCCATTTTAGACTAACTAATTTATACATCCAATCAATAAGCTAAAGGAGAAAAGCCAAAACCACTAAGCGAACGATTTTCAATCCGCTGTTCTCTCTGAGTATTTATTATAACTCATATCATTTAGATTTTAACATATTTTAATCCAAGAATTTGACTAAAGCATGATAGAAAAGAAATATTAAGACATCGAATCCAACGTGAATACCAGCATGAATAACCTAAGTCGACCAACTATGGATATTAATTCATCGTATGATAAAATTTCCCACGACTACTCCTTCAATAACTCCGATGACACTGACTTAGCTATTTTATTACCTATTTTAGTAACTTTTATCGCTATTATCATGACTACTGCAATGGCTGGCAATCTCTATATCTTTTATGCCATTTATAGATGCCGTAGCTTGCACAAAACATCGTCGTTTTTGATTGCAAATTTGGCCGTTGCAGACATATTAACAGCAATAATTGTTTTACCACCTATGGCCTATTCGGCTATTCAAGGTAAAATGCTATTTAATGATACATTTTGTCAAATATCAGCATACATTAATTATATCATATTTGGAGCTTCATTAAATACCAGCATTACCATCACGATGGATCGATTTGTAGCAGTACTTTGGCCTTTCCGATATGAGCGTATAACAACACCATCTAGGACAGCTTTTATGATTAGTACGTCATGGCTATTTCCATCAATTGTAGCTATGCTACCCTTATTATCATTACAACGTTATGGTTTAGGACGATATAGGTATACAAATAGTACTTATTACTGTGGTATTGACTTACACGATTATCAAGATAATTACCTATTTAATGTAATTTCAGCCGCATCAATTTTAAATAGCGTAGCTGTGGTAGCTATTGCTTATCTCTTTATTTTTCGCGTTGCATATAAGAAATGGGTAAAAAGTCAACAAAAATCGATAGATATTAAAGGAAACAAAGAAGCAAGTTTGCTTAGAACAGTACGTACAACGGCTTTAATTGTTGGTACTAATATCTTATGTTGGTTACCCGCAGTTATACAAGTTCTCATATATACCATTAATCCTCCTAATCAACTTGCTAACAAAGTGGATGTTTTAGGTATCATTTTCGTATGGCTACCATATACAAATTGTGCTGTTAATCCAATTATTTATATCTCTTCTAACTCTCGGTTACGCAACCTAGTGATTAAGCAATGGGAATATTATCGAAGAAATATAATGTGTTTTAAATTCTGCCATCCTCGCAATAAAAATGTAATTGGTCCATGGTTGACATCAGAACCATCGAATTCCTTTCATTTATAGCAGTTCCAATAATCATAAATATGATTAATATTAATAATTCTCGTAATCTCGAAGTTCATTTAATTATATTAATACCCGAGTAAATTCGATTTTTGATTTATCTTTAAGAGTAAAACTATAATAGCCAAGAATATATCGCTGATCAGTTATTCAATTTGAATGCAGAATATATTTTGAGAATATTGAGATCGATTCGATACAGTAATTTATGAAAAGAAAGAATTACATTAGTAATTAAGATGAATATTCGGTATCAAATTTTGTTTATTTATATTTATTTAACTAAAGAATTAAATCATTTATAATAGATCTAGCAAAGTACCGATAAAGATTTATATATCCTAAATTCACGAATAATTGGCACCATTTCATCTTCAAATTAAATTTTCCTTAATTTATAGTAATACAATTAGAATAATTAGAACTCATATGATATCATTATTAAATGCATAGGAAATGGATGGTATTGAGTAGGTGTTCGCATATCACAAAATTTTTTGATATTATCTAATAAGTCGTAAATTCTCAAGTAAATAGTAATTTCATATGCATAATTATTTTGCGCTTTAGCACTAGGAGTATACAAAGATAAAGTCATGTATAACAATGCCAGCTTAAGCTGAACAGTAAACTAATTTATACTTTATTAAGTGCCTTTTTTTCTAAGCCTATTGCTGAGCAGTCAATAGATTAATAGATTAATTGCACCTTATGCTGTATCTGCAAGCATGAAAACAATATAAAATTGCATATGCGCAACAATTATTAAACATAATAAGTACTAACTTTAAATTAATACTTACCTGAAAATATTCGTTGCTATAACAAATATGTAACTTATTAATTAAAACTTACTAATGTTTAGCAACATTATTCTGTAAACGTTAAGCTCTAATAATAAATAAAAGAATAAATTTCTTAACGGTAAAACCTTATTGAAGACGGTAGATGTAGCCAGATATTAAAAGAAATGTAAAATAATATCTAAATATAGTGCATAAGGGGCTATGGCATCTATTATATTGATCAACATATTAGCAATCCAAAGTAAAAAAAATGGGTTGAATGCTTAGCTTAAAACTAGTAGTTACTGCTATCTTTAAAGGATAATTTTGGATAGAATGTGGATTATTTAGGCAACAATTCAAATATGCAGGATGCCGTACCATAGTTTAAATTAATTAAGCGATTATCTTGACTTGATCTACAAAACCTAATGTTTAATATTTAATAAATTTTAGTGGTCTCATATGCCTATACAGAATTCTTTTCATAGCTAAATTCCGAGGAATTAAATGCAAGGAAAATATTTAAGTTGGCATTATCAACATAAGGAATTGAGTCATCCGGAATGGAAAGTAATCAATATTTGCTTTCAACTACCGCATTCATAAAATTTTTATTGCGTTGCAGTAAATATGAAACATGTAGACTTCACACATTAACTGAACAATGAATTCTGATAATGTGGCGACTAAAAATTTATTATTTATGATGGTCATAAATAATCTGTCTACTACTTAGAATTCAAATCCCTTTTCTAAATTATGTAATTACGGTAAAGTAATATCTAGTATTGAGGTACCACTCAGTATTCGATATTTATGGTCTATGAATTATTTATTAACCCCGATCAAATATACAATAGATATCAGGAAGAAATTAATCAGATATACCGATATCTAGAATTGCATCAACTAAACCATACAAAACAAATAAATGTATGTTTTTAAAGCTACAATGGCATAGTAGACTTTTCTACGCGGTGTAATTATTGTTTATATCGGCGTCACACACCGACAATACGGCGCGGCGCCATTTGTGCCTTCTATACTGTATAACTAATTTAATTACTGTTTTTCAGTAAACGTTGATTAACGCAGGAGATCATTAAAGAAAATAATAGAAATATTGCGTCAACTCTGGTATCCATGTATGCTCGATATCAATTACCATTTACCACTAAATATCTGCCTGTTTAAAAAGGAAATAGTAATTAGGTGACTGTAGTTCATATTCCTCGGCATATCTCAGTACTGAAGGTTGGCAATCAAGAAGCAGTGAAAGTAATATTATCCTTTTCTAGATAGCAACTATGAATTCAATTTTCATAAGCTAACAGACTGTAGTAACCCATTTCACTATTTACCTACATAATTATCAATTTAATACTAATTTGCATTGAATCATGAAACAAGTTCACAGTAATCATAAGAATGTGCATCAAAGCATGATAATTGATAAACTGTCATCAATGCATACAAAATGCAATTATGGTTCGCTTTTGAGTAGCTTGGCATCGATAAAAAAACCTTTTCTAAAACATCTTCTATTCGCATGTCCACAATTATCTTCGAGCATTATTCATATTCGAAGTAATTTATGTTTACGATGATAAAAATTAAATTTTATGTATTAAAATTATATAGTTATATTAGCTAGCGTAGAAATCAAGGGAAAAATTCATGGTAATTACATCTTTAAGTGATATTGCCGAAATCAGTATTTGAAACGAATAATAAGATAACTTTGATGCATTATTTAATTAAGCAAATACCAAAAACAAGAATTTCGTACCTTTGTACGGTATCATAATAAGAATTTACAAAAATATCCGAAATGGAGATCTGAAACCATCGTACTTCTGCATTTATTATTTATATGTAATAATACTTTAGTGTTTCGAATTGGTAAAAAGTAGATTTAATGGTAGAATAACATAATAAATACACAGGTTGAAACAACTAGAGTGATATCCATTAGTTATGTAATAGGTAAGAACCCTTGTATAAAGATCTTATACTTTAGAAATTTCCAATTTGAATTCAGGATTATCATACTACAAAGTTTAATTACGCCGCTATAAAACTATTATTAAAGAAAAGTCGCTTTCATACTAGCACTTTCGAAAGTTGCTATACATTTTATAAACAATGTTCGCTTAAAAATATATGCTTCATTTGAGTTTTCTAATAATCACGGTTGGTGATATAGCTGGGCTATACTAGAATGGACTCTAATAACTAAAATTTATATTTACAAACAACAACATTACAGTAATCTCTCTGACCTATTCTGCATTGTTACATTAATGATAAGAAGATGCTTAAACACGAAATCATATGAGAATTAAAGATCCATACCGGTAGTGAGTGAGGAATTTGAAAACAAGCTATATCTTTTATTCTGCATTTACTTGCTAATTTTATAGAAATCTTCAGTGTTTCTCCAATTCTCTTAGTGCTAATGTTTTTGACTGTTTTGCTTTGCTTAATTCAATTTTTAAGTTATATCATGAATACTTGTATTATTTTATGTCCATTATTCTAATACTGTATGTTTAATAGTAAACACTTGATATTATCAACATAACAGTACGTGAAATTTTATCGTCAACTAATTCTTCGAAATGGTTTATAATAAACAAACACAGGATGAAATTGATTTACAATTGTTTCATTATAGAAAACGATTAAGTTATGATTTTCCTATGGTTGACTAACTCAATTAAAGTATGCGATAATTAAGTAGCATAAATAAATTAATAAATATACATTTCTGATGGTAATTTCAATTCTATATTCCTCCGTGCGATTATTAATATCCATTACAACCTTTATACTAATATCTTAGTCAAGATATTATATGCTACACGTATATTCCTTATATTGCATACACATAGCCAGATCACGATAATTCTAGCAAAAGGAATGTATAATTTTCTTTTTGTACGTAGATAAAAGACTAAGCCTAACTGCTGAACCAGAATACTATATCACAATCACAATGTCTGAAATAAAGCTATCGGTCTTGATGATCACAATAGTAGATGTTATTAGAAATTAATTATTAGAACGACTATAATATATTAGGATAGCTTTACTGTAAGAGATTTTGACCCTTCCATTATTGTGATTTTTTCCTACCGTAGTGCAGGGATCTCACTGTTTTGGACAAGAGGCCTACTTCCATGGCAACATATCATAGCACATAATAATTACATAATTTATGTGAATACTAATTAAGCACAAAATTCATATCACCATAACTAATGGTCAAATTGAGCACTACATCCTATCTTGTATACTGTAATATAGTTCATTATATAAATTTCAATTAGTTAGTGCGAATACATTGTGATCACTATTACATGTAAATATAATTGAATACAAGATACGCCAGATATTCTACTTACGTAATTTAACCATGACATTAAAAACAAGAACATAAAATTGAAAGAAAACGGCTTTTAATTTTGTTTGTTATTTAAAATATGCCATTGTATAATGACGTCATGAAAAACATTGAGAGAGAAAATACTAAAAGGTCGTAATGTAGAATTGCTTTTTTAGAATGATTGGAATTAGATTTGACAACATAAGTTTCTAATAGTAAATAACCTTTCTGACATGTATTTATTCAATAGAGCTCAACCTTAAATTTAATAATATTTCTTCCATTTAAGCTAAACGAATAGTCCTATCAAAATTAAAGCTTAAGGCGAGAAATAGCAACTCTTTATTAGACTTTTAAGATCGTTTATTGACAAAAAAAATCAAGCATCATACTAAGTAATCTCGTGTACATAAAGTATTAAGCGCATACTTCAATTAATAATTGTGAAGAATTAATGAAAAGCTTTAACTTTTGAAATTAGTTTTAATCTTTCATGTAAGCCATTAAGGCATGATTTTGATAAGAATGAAAATCTTCATAATTTACTAATTATAAACTATGAAACCTTCTCTATAACTTTAAGTAATCTGGCTTTGAAATAGATATTCTAAGAAATTATCATTCAAATTTATGAATGATCATGCTAGAGATCGTTGTAATTGTGCTGAAATCTTATAATGCGTAGAATTTTATCTAAAAAACTTGAGAAGAAAAGAGAATTTTTAAGTAAGTTTTCCTGTACGACATAGACTTCAATAACAAGGTTAATAGTTTATAGGAAATCTATCTTAAGTTGAATAGCTTGCGATGCACCGGCGTTGGGCCTTTTACAATGGCATCCTGTTTAATATTATACACTTAAAATTTTTTTAAAATATTTATTGGAATCTAACTATATACTGTATAAACTTATAGCTAAGTTATATAAGCACCTACTGCTCTTATAAATTAGTAATAATCTTAATCGACATTGTAACTACAATATACTGTAAAAGCTTATGATTTTCATTTAAGATAGAAGTTGAGAGATGATTTGATTGTAAATTAGGTAGCAACAAATATTTATCAGGAAATGATAAATTATAATCTAAGTCGTATCTCGTACAGTTTAATATTGAGCGTATTTTATATCCTCCACTTAATTAAATGAATTCATAATCAGGTTATCAAGCTATGATAATTAAAATTTCAGAAATTTATTAATGATATTATCATTTGCAAGTCCAGCGTCATCGCCATTTCTGTATATACCGCATATAATTCCATTTCTTTACAGTACCTCAGGTAGCTCTGATATACCAATATAGTTATGTATGTCCTCTTTAAAATTATGAATGAAGACAATTAGCAAGGAACTGCTAACTAATCGCTTAATTTTAATAATTTGGTATTTTTTCAAAAACGAGATTATTTAGGAGCAAATTTGTGACAATAAACGCTCTTGGAGCAAAACCAGTTTATGAGAGAGATATAGCTTTATTTTAATTTAGTTCATGAAGCAAAAATTATATACTATAGATTTTTATACATTGCACAGTCATAAAATCAATTATTTATGGACAGTGAATAATATGATGAATGAGAACACTTGCATCGCTCATATTGTATACCCGAAGTAATAGCAGTCAAGCCATTACATATCCGTTTTCAAACTAATTTTTTCTACTTAAATTTTTGTATAGAGTTAATCAATTAAAGACAAGATTAATTCGGAATTGTTCTATAAATTTATATAATTACATTTTTATCTAATACGTGCATCATCTGTAAGTGTATTATTAGGGAAGCAAAATACAATAAAATTTCATAGTGTGCGTAATTATCGCACAATAAAGTGAACTAATAAAAACGTCTATTCTTCTTGTATATATCGGATGGAGTTATCAAATGATAAGAAATAATAGACAAGTTGTCATTAGATGGCATCCATCGTTGCGTCAGTGCTTATGATTTTAATATGAAGAATCTTAGGAAATTATATTGTACCGCGGAAGGACACAAGCAAATTTGGTATCCATTAATATGAATCCAACTGATAAAAAGTTCTCGATGAATTTAACCATATTACTTTCGAGTTTGAATAGATTCAAGTTGCAGCTTTACAATTTCATGTGGCCCAAATTACGGTAAAAATTCACTATTGCAGCTAAAGTTGTCTCAATCAAAGACCTCATGATACATATGTATTTCATTTTAAATTCCGTCCCTATAGTGAAAACCAAACCAGTTCTCAGATATTTACTCAAACTGTAGCTTGCTACGTTTTATTGGGTATTTTCTATCGAATATGTTATTGGCGGAAAATTTTTTCTATAAGGCTTGATCTTTGACTATGTGCTAGTCCAGTAATCTAAATTATCATTGACCCATCCCTATGTAAGACACGTCTAGCGCAACTTTGTCATTATATTAATCCATTAAGTTTTAATTAACTTTTAACCACAGGAGCTATTTACTATTGATTAAGGGCTTATTGTAAATTATTAAAAGTCAATTTCGTCAATGCTTAAGCAGCGGTATTGTATCTTTATGCTACAAATAAAATTTAAAAAATATGCCTCACAAACGTCCCTTGATTGAATCCAATTCTGAAAATTTGCAGTTATTAAAGAGCATAAAAACAAATATTATGTACGATTATTTATTCAATGCTTGGAAAGAAGCATGATGCGATCATAATGGATTGTTATTGCCAATTCCTAAACCAACGTTTACCAGCTTTATATGAATTCTAGAAAATCATCACATCCGTATCCGATATTTGCGACAAAGAATCGAATTCAAATATAATTCATTGTTACTAGAAATTTACTTGCATTACAATAAGTTCCACAATAAAAAGTGATATGGTTGTTAATAGGATGAAAAATAGAATGACTTTCCAAGAAATGAGATAGTGGACGGTAATTGTTCATAGCATGTTGACGTTGATTAACTTGATGATATCGCTAAGCTACCAAACATTGTATATTTGATGTTTTTACAGTTACTAAGACCCTATCGGCAGCTGGGTGAAAGTGGAAACAGCTACTGTAGTACTACGTGAATTACTCTTTTGCCGAGTGCGATCATGTATAACCATTGAATCAAAAGCCAACCAAGGGAAAATAATAATTCTCTATAGATAACTCGATGTTGGATTACATCCTCGTTGCAGCTGATATCCTCTAAATTAATTCTACCCAAGTATTGAAAAACTATCCAACAACGACTGTCTTATTGTGCGTTCATCTATTTACCCAGTATGAAAGAGTGCAGTGATAATGAATTAATAACAAGTAAGAATAACAAGTATATAGAGTACGCGAAGTATGATGAGTGGGATTCGACTAGTATCTTAGAATGATATGATGCCATCTAATCTGCTATCGTTGAAATTAAAATGAAATATATATCGGTATATCTATAAAAAATAATATGCGCATAAGTCTTGAAGCTAGCGATTTCCGTTAATGGCGAGCAGCCACCTCGAGTTCTCGAATCGTGTCCTTTACAGTGTACAATACGTCATCTTCTATTACTGTACACTGTACAGTACACTGTACTGTACAATCGTGGACCACGGCAGAAATACAGTACACTGTAGTCCGGACGACTAGACACTCCTCGGATGGACGGACTTTTCATATTAATTGAGGCCGAAAATGTCGAAAATTATTACTCAGGATGGATCTTCCGTGGCTCTTTTCGAAATCACTCGTATTAATCTGCAAAACATTTATGATCTAAATTTATTGCTTCCAGGCAGAGCTTAGCAACAGGCAATGAAATATAACATGTTACCTAATTTAGTAAAAATCAGTCAATTCAGAGTCGACTCTCTGCAGAACCGCCATAACGAAGTGGTTAACACAATTTGATGACCGAATGAGTCCGAATGTCTGTCCGTTCAAAAGAATGTCCAATGTCCACTGTCCAGTCCAGGTATTCTAGTAGTGGTCCGATCACTCCAACGATACTATGACGCAGTCAGTAGTCTTCACAAGCTGCAACTGTATGGGTTTCGATGACGTAGTGTTGGGCAAGTAACGTTTGAGACATTGGATTAGGAAATCTCAACTTACTGTAGTCTCCTAGCTGAGAGAATATTAAGCCCATCTTATCCATCTTCATTCGGAACACTACTCGATAGTCACTCTTGAAGCTGAAAAATTTCCTATTTACTCGATTGTATCCTAAAGTACTGTATTTTGGACGCTCAAACGAGGAGGAGAGCGTATAACTTTCCATTCCTAATCTCAAGTACTCTTCCAATAGTGGCATAAAGTCAACTCAATTACAGTCAATTAATCCTGCTCGATGTGACTACGAATGCATGTAATTGCAAACTTCAACAACATCAATTTCTAATTCAAGCAGCGATGATTCAAATATCTTTCTAATACGACATCAGTACGTTGATTACGGGACTAAAAATAAAGTAACTAACCCATTAAGCATCACATCTCACCTGTTCCAGCAAAATTGGCCGTTCATCGTCCACTGCTGTTGTATACTACGTGTAATAATCACTGAGCTCGTATTTTGCACGCATGATAACTATAATCATTACAAGTTTTCTTGCCGGTGTTGTAACAACCATCTTCCTGCAATGTTACATTTATTACAAGAGTTTTTGGTCTTTACCGAAAGTTAATGCTGATAAATCGAATGATTGGGCAGCGGTAGAACTAGATAAGGTATTATCAAATAATTATAATCCGTCAAGATAGTTCTCTACTAGCTGCTATTGCACTTAATGATTAGCAACACTTCATTCCTCAGTTAATTAGTTGATTAGTCACAGCATCATCAGTTTTAACGATGATCTAAAGAATAGAAATAGTTATGTTTGCTATTATCAGTTACCGATAATACATTTAAATCAAGTCTGACTATCAGTACCTTGTGCAGCAATTTTGTATCAATCAACGGTACTGGAATTAGTCAATGTATAACGTCCAAGAAGTACTATATTTCAGGACCATTTTCCCCCTTTTAGCATTGTTATACATTAGTAGCTAATATAATCATTGATCACGGTCCGGAAAAGAGGACTAAAATTATACGTAAGCACCTACATATGCTATATAGCATTTCAATACTAAAGAAATGATCCTTGATATTATAGTATAATGGCAAATATGAAGCAGGTGAGGGCTACGATTGAAGTTTACTTAACATATAGACATCTTATTCAACATCATATTACAAATACCGTACATGTGTACGAGTATGTATACCCTATATATATATATATATATATAGTGTACAGTATTTAAATTTTATCAATTAATTATCAGCTCATAATGTTGCTGTTATTGGAAAATAGGTGTTAATGATTTCTTCTGTTTTGCGTATATCCAATAATTTAGAATTTGCTTAAAATACTCGAAGCAGACAGCAGGCCTGAATCAGAAACATGTAGCTGGTTTAATATGTTTATGGCTTATCTATTCCGAGAATGGAAGGATAATGATGCTGTTAGAAGGTCAGATATTTTGTTTTAAGGCGCTCTTTATTGTACAGGAGGATGATGCAGGTATTCTATGACGGCCAATGACTGCTTAAAACGTAATGCCTGTAGTGTTGTAGTGATGCAGTATGATGTGACGTGTAATTGTAAATTTTCAAATAGCTTATTAATACTTATATTTATACCGTAGAATATTTTTAAAGAAAATCCACGGAGAATTCGAGGATTTGCTACGAACTACGGCTGGAAAAATTATTACTGGTATTACGGTATGTCACGTTGAAACAATTTGGTTATCACTTAGATTATGGTTGATATGTGTTCATCTTACTTTGAAAGTTAAGTTCATTTTTACTTTCAAAATTGATAGAAAGTAATATAATTATTAAAATTCTATTAATCGTATACGTACCGCATAAATTCTTACAGCAGCCTCCAGCTTTCTTAACGTATTATCGTCAGATTAGGTTGCTATATGAATTCTTGATAAGTGTTCTATTTTTCTATGCTTAGATTAATGGTTATTCATTAGGAAGTTCACTACCGATCATCAAAAAGATTTCTATCGTTAGAACAAGCTCGAAGGACAACAATACCAGCAAAGTACCAGAGGTAAGCATGTCCATGATTATCAATTTACTATGGCCTGAAGCCGTATACTATATTCACTTCTCTCCACAAAAATAATGTCTTATTAGGTTTTATTTACGATTACCATCTAGGAAATTGATTTCGCTCTCGACATTAGTTATAGGTATAACCAGAGTCGTACATTAAACGATATACAGATAAAATGAAACATTGTGGTATGATGCAAATGGGCGTTGACTCTTTCTTTTTAACTTAATTAACACTGTAATACCAATGTAACTCGTCCGTGTTAGTGGTGGATTCCAATTAGCAATTGATGTCGATCTGGTGAGAATGCAAACAATTGGACCGTTCTTCGTACAATCTTTAGATTTCGTTAGCAGAGATTATTAACTGTCTTAATATTGTCATTTAGATCTTTGGAAAATCCGCATACGTTTCCGTTAAAGTTGTTAGCTTAAAAGGAAAAGTTGGCTTAAAATTGACTCGACATCCATTCTCTCATTGGTCTTTTTCCTTTTACAAAGTATGCTGGTGTTTAACCTATCCTACTTATAATCAGCCGCCAAATATTCCGAATCTTCAAATATAATCGTTTTTACTCATGCCTAGGAGCCTGAGATACAATTTCAAGCTCAAACATTATTTGAAGGGAGAAAACTTCCACAATTAGCTTCGCTTATAACCAACCAAGTAATGGTTTTATCTGTTGCATTTGTATCAGACTTAATGCAAACTCGGATGGAAACTAAATTTAGATTGTTAATATTGATAGTTGAGAAGATCCTTAAGGAAGAAACATACTTTACCCAATGCTGTACCTCGGTATGTATTATCTTCAACAATCAAGTATACGATTAAATAATCCCACGGCCTTCCCAAAATTATTGCGAATTCTTCTTTACAGTTCATAATAATGAATTTAATTATTTTTAGTATGAAGCCGTTTATACCAAGACTAGATAACGAGGTAAGGAAAAGTTTTGAAAATCACATGCATAGTATATCATATGTTTGATCAAAAATTTCAACTTCATGAGCAATTAGTCATTATTGTAAATTCACTTACGTTTCGATAACAAAAACAAATTATAGGATGACCGTCAAGACGTGAGTAAAGTTGCAAGACCGAACTATATTTGTAGGCTAAATGTAGGAGATTTTTCGTAAGATATAATCGATTATGTGTACTGCTATATACACAGGTATACATACACAACAATAAATTGTCTTGCGGGCAATTATCAGTGAAAGTGGTGAGCTGCTCTCGTCTATCTCGAGCAGTAAAAGCGACATCGGTTTATTGTGTATTATCATTAGGTGATATGTTAGAAAATTTCGTTGCGTAAACACTTATTACGTTGCTGTTAAACCGGCCAAATGATTATATTTTTATGCGAAATATCCTACATACATTCCGCAGGATTTTGTGCTATGAGTGGCAAAGTTGGACTCCCGTATGGTTATTGGGTAACTCATGATACTGTAGTTGAAAAAGACGAAACATCGCCTTTTGGAGTCACCTTCAAACAGGTACGTCATGTATATTCTAACTGCAAACAAATAATATAGCTAGTTGGCACGTTGGATATATATTAGCTGAAATTACCTCATTACAGTGTTTTGATATGAGAAGAAGTTCACGTTCTGGTCAGAAAGCTGAGATTGTTATAATTGAATCAGTTATCCCGAATTCACCAGCTGATCGTGCAAATTTGAAAAGGGTACCTAGTAGATCAAGAAATTATCAAAATTATCATCTATGAATTTTAGCTAACTAAACAATCTTTAGGACGATGTAATTATTGCTGTCGATAACCAAGCCCTTTCTTCATTAAAAGAAGTGGTAAAGCAAATCAAGGGCAAGAACAGGTTAGCCGTAATGGCTGCTTTGCTGTATAAATGCGTATGAGTATATGTTCTGCATTTTATTATTTACGTTTATGAACATTTTGGTTTCAGGTTTAACTTAAAAATTCAACGGAAGCAAATTAAGCCAATGGGATCTCACCAATTACATGATGCAACCTCTGAGGTTCCAGGAGAAAGCACTGTAGAAAGAGACTCTGCTAAATTAGCCGCTGCTGTTTCAAATAGTGAATTTGGTGTACTTGACGATAACACTCACCCAGGGAAAGGTTCTGCTATTATCATATAAGATCTGTAACAATCTAATCTCGTCGACAGTCTGTCCAAGCCTACAAGGCTTCTAATTATTAACTTCCTGTAATTACATAGATTGGATACTATATGACGGTACTGACAATGAAGAGGATACCGTGGTGAATGTTGCTGACGACCTTGGGGGAGAGAGCACTAGTAGAACCACAGAAATTACTACAACTTGTGTAAGATATATTAATCAAAATCGCGAAGTTTTGTGCTATAATGTCTCACGTTGTACTACCTGTAAGAGTATTGATTAATTAATGACATCATTTCTTATGTGTAGAGGTCAATTCTGTACTACCTTTAATTACGATTTATGCTTTGATAACTTATTAGGATCCGATCTGGAATGAGCAGTTTCACCTTTCAGTTGAGAAGGACCATAGATATTTAAATGCCTCAGTTTGGTATCGTTTAGAGGAAAAGTCAACTTTTGATTTGATGATTGGCTACGTAAGCGCAGCTTTCAAAACATTACAGTATCTAGAACAACCTAATTTTGTCCATCTTAGAAATACTTTGCGATAAATTCAGCTCTGCGCCTGCGATACAATAACGGTAATTGCCGTTTTGATCTTATTTACCTCTACAGGTTTCAGTACCTATAATGAATATTTCCGTAACGGCCATGTCTTTACCTAAAAATAGCTTCCGAAATACTTATATTCTAACTCCAGCTGATGTCTTTCGAGTCGACTCTAGGTATTCTGACTCATTCATCGATGACTTTATCATCGCGCATTTCTAGCAATTAGCTTACTTCATGGTCATTACTCCATAATGCTAGTGTACATTAAAGCATGACTTGTAACTGATTTACCATTTGCATTGTAGCCAGTCTTCTGTTCGCCTTAGTTCAATGCTTCGCCATAAAGGCATTACCCATGAATGGTGTGGAGATATTACTTTGGAATTTATTCACGAAACGAAAATTGGATCACAAAGCGTAGATAGTGTGGCCGGCCTGTGATCCCGCGTGATACTCTATCGATGGGAACAATTTTGATTGGAGAATCGAATTTAATGAGCTGTTTTGATTTCAGATGGATGGTTGCAATGCAAATCCATGGCGTAAGCGTCACGGAAGTATTACTATACTGTACTGTACATAACCAATGCAATTTATACGACCGTGATTCTTTATATGGTAAATCGAAACTATCACTAAATAATAACGGTACCTCAAAACATTTAAGTTACGTTGAATTCTTTTCAAGGATGTTATCGTAATTATTGCCTGTGCTGACTGATTACTATTATGTATAACGTGCCTCGTATCCAAGCCGATACTACCGTCTATTGAGATTTACTGTAATTCTGTAGTTCTCATCATAAAACGTTAATAACCTCCATTTTTTATGATAGTAAACATCATAAATACTATATACAAATCAATTCATAATAGATTTACAGCAAGCAGGAGATGATATTGCAAAATATTTTTATCGGATAGAAACTAGCCGAATTTGCTTATGAACTCTCCGGTTAAAATAGCCATAGCAACTTTTAAAAGTTTACTGTTAAGTTTTGGGCTGGATTGCTACGTATAGTTTGCGTATCATGCAGATTAACAAATCAGAGCCAAGTCCATGCAATGTGCATGTAATGTTTTCTACGGTAGTATATATCAGCTGGTAGATAATCCTGCTGTATAAAGGCCATTACTAGCAGTTAGGAGTATTGATAACACTACCGTCCTTTACCGAATTGATGAAAAATATCTACAGTGTAATGGAACGAATTCAATCTGGAATAGCAAAAATGTTAGTAGAAATACCATTAAATTAATTCAATTAGTTGCTAACGCCTTATGCGACAAGTCAAGACCATACTGGATACAATAAATGAGTTGATTATAGCTCGTTTGCTTTATTGGCAGTTTTCTTATCATATCGCTCTCCCCTAGTAGTAAAGTCATACACTGGTGGCAAATGCAATCTAGTTTAGAAAGAAGATAATACTGCCTAACTTTTTATACAATACGATGCCTGATAATGCTAAGAAACTTTAGATAGCGTAACATTTACGTTGTACGTATGTAGTACCTTTTAAGATACGATTATTGTAGTTGTGTATCATTATGCGTACATAATAATGTAGAGCTCATGAATGCATTCATTTAGTAGTGTAATATAGAAGCAAAACTGCAAGTAGTCGGGTCTAGTGATAAAAATCCTAATATGAATACTGCAGTATGATAAGACTGATAGAATTGCTATAGCACACATTGCAATGTTTCAAACTACTCAGTAGGTATGCACTTGAAGCATATTTTATCAGCTAAAGCCTGCAAACTGGTATGGAACTACTACTGTAACGTAACCTAAAGCCATTTTGTTGCAAAACATTGTGCAATCACGGGCCAGTAAATGAGGGGTTATCTATTTAGTCCCAGGTACAGTGCAAGGTTCTGTAATTATAACATTATCTTTGGAGAATACGGGCTATAGTATGATCAAACAGAAACCCTGTAAAATAAATATTTAATTTTATCAGGGACAATAGCAAACTGCCCGATTAAAGAACCGGCTTTCTACTACAGAATGAACGGAATGGATCGCTATCAAGTTACAACCTCATAATTAAGTATACTGTATAATTGGAATGGAACGTTCTACAGTTACAAAATCGTATAACTAAGTTTACGGTAACCTCCTTAACACAATGTACATTACATTATTTAGTAATTAAGTAAAGCATCCTGTAGTTATACGGTGGTCCCCGGTTCATTAATGGGCTAGCAGCATCAACAAACTTTGGCTCATTTCTGTGACGATAAATGCACAATTATGAGCTGTTCGATCCTTCAATCGGATTGATGTCAGCCTCAGTAACATCCAATCGAGCAAAATCTTATCTATTAGCCGGGAATCAACGACTTAGAATCCACCCTGACAGTTTGATATGGCAATAAAAACAATAATATCAACGTTAACCCCCACCAAAACTAGGTACAAGTACAGTACTTCTGAAAGGAATTCTTCTGGAAATTCCTCACTAAAAGCTTAAAAGCTTTGGCACTAATCCAGGCCATCGGTTGCGCAGACTCAGTTTGGCTGATATCCAATCTACTCAAATTCTCAAGGTTGTCGTCGCTAGCTGCACTAGCTAGATCTTGCTGTTCCTGTTTGCCAATGCTTGCCCGCAATTTCTTCCTGACTTCAATATTCCTTTAAGCCTATTTATGACGGATATTCGAAATCGAATATTGATCGCTCTTGCTTTAACATACAAGGCTGACGACAGTATAGCTAGTGTTGAGAAAAATGGGGGATAACCTCAATCGAAATCTATTCCAAGATGCAGATGGTAAACCGATGAAATTTTATATTAAACCATGTCCTACGAAAGGGAAAGTACGCCCGTTGATCGAGGTAAGTTCATTTCTGAACATCCAGTTTGCAATGGAGTCAAGATTTTTTGGGACTTTGATAGATTAATTTAAAAAGCAGTAGCGATGCAAGTTTAATCTTCCAATCGATTGTCGCAAGTACAGATAAAAATTTTTCAGTATGAGCTACGGCTAATTGAGGGTATCAAGAAAACTTGTATAAAGTAGCAATGAGTACATTGCTACTTGCTGTAAAAGCAATACGTCAGTGATGTGCTTTCTTTTACAATTTTTCAGAGTTGTGGCGGTCAAGTTATTGTCCATCCTACTGATGGTGTAATCAGGTAGTGTTTGGCTAACAATATCGTTAAAATTATGTTTGCAATAGGGACTTTATCTATTCTAGTGATATTGTTGTCGCTGTGAATCAAATTTTATCAACATTGGTGTTGTTAAGCTTGTATCTAAATACTTAGAATGATGATGAAATTATTGACAATTGTACGTGTAACACTGTTTACTTAGACTTGCTGAACCTGATACTCTAACGCCTCTTGGTTATGTTTCCGCAAGTTTCATATTCGATTCTGTAGCCAATAATGCTCTTCAAGACATTGAAAGTTATATGTAAGTGTTAGACTATTGAATTAACAAGTAGAGACTTTGTTATCAAAACTATCAAATTGACTTTTTCTCCTTAGGTGTCCGGATAGTCGTTCAGGAGCGGTTGAAACTTGCACTAAGAAATCATCGACAGGGTCAGTTGTTATGTCATATCTAAGAATATAAAGAAAGCAATACCAGTTCAAGAAGGATCTTACAAATAGCTACTAATGTTACACGGTAGATTCTGTCGAAGAAAATTTGTGTAAAGCTATTAGAGATGTAGTATAGCGGAAGATGAATGTATACTATGATAAACATTTCTGCATCCAGGATCAGTATTCGTAACATGTATATCCACATCATGCTTTCCAGTTTAGCGCATGAATATACATACGATATACGGTATAGTGATAATACTTCTAAGAACTACTATGACTGAGAAGAAAGCAATGCACTCGAATACAATAAAAGTCTATAGCTTATTACGTAAGATAAGATGGGAAATAATCGTTGTATTTTCTATTCAGTCGTTTATTTTACACTACTGCCGAAGATGCTGCTATCTTAGAGTATATTGAAAACTATGGTAGTCCTGCATTACCAGCTGGTGGTAATGAAATTTGGAAAAAGATGGAAAAGAAAAAGGTAGCAACTTTATTTCCTTCTCAATCTTTGTAATGCTTATATACGGTACAATACTCGTATTCATTAATAATAGACTTGTCAATAGCTCTAATACGAAAAATGAACTGTGTATGTAGATAACTTGTCATTCGTGGCAATCGATGAAGGACCATTACAAGAAGAAGTTGATGCGAAAGCACTATCGTCGTGCAGTAAAATCGCAGAAAGAGTTACAAGTAGAAGTCATGAAGCATCAAAGTATGTTATCTTAATAATAGCATGAGGACATAGATATTTTTAACATATCATAATTCAGCTATTTCGCTGATTATAAGGTGAATCGAAAATATCCATCAGCAACGGAAGCAACAAGCGGCTAAAAAGAGAGCCAAGTATCACACTATGGACTGACACAAGCTTTGAAGTTGCTTCAATCTGTTCCTCTCGCAAGCCTGAACAAAATTCACATCCGCCAGTAATTGATCTTGTATCTGAAAACGAAAATGATAAAGAGTGTCAGGAAGAGGAAATTATACTAAATGAACCAGAACCTACCCTTTATGACCGTGTTGTTGGTCATGAATACGATAGTCAAGTTATTTTACCACAAGTTAATAGCCAAAATGGCATGCTGGCTCCAGCAAAAGGTGAGGATGAATGTCCTGTTGTCGGTGGAGGTGAAGCATATAACAGTGATTTGGACTATGAAAATATACAAATTAACAGTGATGATGGAAAAAATTCAGGTTTGCTTTAATATATCAATATTACTGCTAAAGTAACTATAAAATATTTATCTAGATTGATGGTAGATTTAATTCATAAGAGAATCATAAATTACGAAATTCCATTTATACCCTTTTATTCGCTAGCGTACCTGAATAATATTGATAAGGATGGCCGCGAATCACTTGATGATTTACTAACATTATCGAGCAAGCATAAACAACAGCAGATAATTGATTGTTAGTAAAAGTATCGTAAAGCTTGTGAATATTAGTTATTAAAATCTTTCATTAATATAATAGTTACAATACAGGATCAAGTTCGATTAAATAATGGTGATGATAACCACGATAAGTTTTGTAAAGGTACGATATTGGATAATGAAGCATCCGCAGCAGTTGATGAGAAAAATCATAGAAAACAAATCGTTTTTATTGACGAAGAAAATTTAAATCAACAAAACGACGATCCTGATATTCCGAAAATTTCAACTGGCGATCAAAATGTAAACTTGGAATTTAGTAATCAAATCAACGAGGAAATCCTTAGCAAATACTTTTATTGCGATTTCGGTTATGAACTACGGGATGCAAAATCTAGCGACAGATATTCTGCACATAGCGTTGCCGATCAAGTACAAGAAATGCGGAAACACCATGGTATTATGAAAGAAAACTAATTAATAGTTAACTGCACATGTAACACCTTAAGTAGTTTACATTTTAAAACCTTATAAAGCGCGAGAGCATTTTACTTTAAAATTTGATTCCAAATATTAAATCAATAAGGAATACTGTCGATACTCATAATTTTGGCCACATTTATTGCATATACTATGTTTATAGAGTGCATGTGGGAGAAAGATATGAGAAAAGATACCAACGCTGAAATCAAGGTTAGCTAAGAAATGACCACTATCTAATAATTAAATGCAATTATTTTTTATCGATACAGAATATGAATTAGTTAATCTATAGAATAAGCTGGAATATCCAATAATTTAGGCTCTTGCTGCTAGTATGCAAATGGCGGAGGCAGGAGTGGCATGCGTCTATCGTGCTTTGTCTGGAAAGTGTGATGACACACGTTATTATTTAAAGCATAACAAAACGAAAGATGGTATATAAGTTATTAGATTTTGTCTACTGATAGTAAAATCCAATAGACTAGATCTTTGATTAATTTCCCAATCGTTACACTCTAGACTTTATTGGTTGGAATCATGACCTGGATGACGCTCTTCTTTGCGGGAATACAGCTAAATTAATGGAAGCTGGAATTAGTGAAAAGCGCATTCTTCAACGGTTGCATTACTTATCCATCTCGGACGTCAAAGAATTAATTCAATCTATATTGTATAACAAGAATGCTTAACATGTACTTTAAAATAGTAATGTACGTAATTAAATTTTGTACCTGATATTTATTTGAAACTTTAGCAGCGTACATCCTGCAGAATTATGTTATTACTGCAAAATCTAGTTGTGTACGATAATTAGTAGATTAAGTTCACAAAAAATCAATTTTATTCTTGGATTGTTGTTATTGTCCTATAGCTATCGATTGAAAAGGAATTTATTCGAGTATTAAAAATTGTATAACAGTCCATTCAACTGACAATCGGAAACGGTTGCTTTGAAAGTATGGCAGACGTATTTTGTTTACCGTATATAATAATGTGTTGCGACTTCAATGAGCAGTGTCAACAACATCTAATAACAATTTAGTTATTGCCTTCAACAGCTTATTAAGCAATTACAATAATGCCACTTTAGCTGTGAAAATTTTGTCCCGAGATAAAATTGTCCATGCTTATAAATTGCTCGCTAACAATATTTTGGCACATGTAAGTTAGGTATCACCCTAGCTTATTAATTCCTAAATTTCATACAACAACATGTTGAAGAACTGTAGAGAATATTTGGCATCAGTATTGGGTATATATGGCTAGATTTGAGTACTAACACTAAGAACGTTAAATTATTTCAATGCGAAAATCAGCAACGAAATTTCCGGCAAATTATAATTTAAATTGATGGTTACTAACAAGTACGAATTGGTTCCATTGTATTAATAGTTGCAAATTTCGCTAATGAAAGTAAATACTTTTTACATATCATAGATCACTTCAAATTCTGTTAGCCACGCTAATCTTTTGTCTTTACGTACCATAATATTATCAACTTTACTGATATGGTGATAAAAAATGTTATGGCGACAATGGCGTTACTGCATATTATTCACTAAAATTTTAATCAAAGCGTTGTCTAGACAACAATAAAAATTTTGCAAATACTCTACCACGCTAATTGTAATGAAAAGTATTATACTTATTCAACTTAAAGTTGCAGATTGGTATCTGTATTTATTCGAAACTGTTGATGTTATCTATAATAAATTGATATTTACGATATTGGCTAATAGCACAAATAATTATAATATGTAATTAATTCCTTTAATGTGCAACGTGAATAATGCGTCGGTTACACCGTAACGACTGTCTCACTCTAGCACTTCTAGTTATATAAATTAACGGACCAAGTATACCATTAACGTATGTTAAATGAAGTAGGATTGTTGATGTTGTCGATGATATGGTAATACCAAACAGTGCAAGTGTACATGATATTGAATGGGGAAAATAAGATATTAAGAAGACAATGAAAGCTAGCATAATCGTTTTGGTTAATCGATATTCAAGTTGGCGAATGCTGGAGCGAAAGCTAACACTATTTTTACGATGAAATGATAGACGACTTTGAAGGGTAAAAGAAACGACTTTTGCAATCGATGAAGTTGCTGACAATGTATTAGTAGAATTGCTTGCATTAATGCTTTTCGTACTATTGTTGTGGTAACTTGTAATTTGGCGTCGGCTTAGACGTAAAAGTAAAATAATTTTAAAGTAACTAAAAAACATAATAACAGACGGTATTAATATAAATGTTAAATCCATGGTAACTTCATAAGAAACAACAGCTGGATCATTCTCTGCCGTCGATAGTGGAAAACATAAACCAGTTTGGTTAGAATATTGATATTTTCCCCATAACTGAAAAACAGGCAAAATCGATAAGCCAAAGGATAGGGTAAAAATAATGGCAAGAACAATCCGATTATATCTTGGCTTGAGATAGGGTTGATATTTAATAGGTTTAACAATGACTGCATAACGGGTAACCGAAATCAATGTCATAGTATAGACATTAACTTTGGCCAACGACGCCTGAATAGCAGCAAGAAGTCGACAAGCGATTGAATCATATAAGAAAATAGGTAATTGATTGTTTATGGTGGCAAATGCTATTAGTAATTGGGTGCCAGACCTACAAAAATAAAGAGCGTATATAAAATATAAGATTATTAGCATTTACAACTATTAGTATACAAAATTATGTTATTCATACTGCTGAATAATACATAATGAACACCTTAATATGAACAAATAAAATGTTCATAATAATTCTTAAATCGATACATAATTTACTGTAAAGCAAATCTTGATATTTTTCGTAATAGAAGAAGCTTGCTAATTCTTTAATAATATCTTACAATACATCCCAATGTGTAGATTAGTAGTTTATGATGGTATGGCATTAATCTTCAATAAGATAATAAGATTATTATATATTACTGTCACAAAATAGCTTTGCAACAAGATAACGTAATGTACGATCAATAAGTCAATTCCTTGAACCACGTATCAAGGAACGATATCTGCACTATCACAAACACTTTTGCTCTACTAGCAAACTACACAAAGACTTAAACGCCTCGTATTTTACGTTAAACACTAAGTTTGAGAATCTACTTTATTACACGATATACTGCATTTATGTAATATTCCTCAATAGTTCATGGGTCATAGTTAATACGATTAACATTGGAATCATTTACTGAATTATATATTAAGTTTAGCTACTGCTCCCTTAATGCGGACAACAGTATTTACGAACATAAACATGTGATGACTAAAACAGAATTGTCAGATTACGACATGTCCTATCACGGAACATTTCCACGATAATTTACAATCTACTGCAAGTAAATTACAATCACAATAATTCGAACTGTAAGTAGATGATTTGCATTCACTATCATGGCTATTAATTTCAGTATGTGTATAAGTGTCACTGTCATAAAAAGTCAGTGCTATATTAGAATACAGTATATCCAAATTAGAAGTTAACTAAATAAGGATAGGCTAACAGGGTCATCCTAACATAGATATTTCTACTCTAATACAGTATATAACACTGTCACAATTACTAATCATTACTTGTAGCTGTGTAAATGTAAGAACTAAAATTATTTCGCTTTCCCTTTCATAGTATTGCAGTTCATGAGATAATGATGCATCATCAAAGCCTTTGAGAAAAAATTTACAATAATAATTTTAAATTTATCGATCGCTGAGCAATTACATAGAATGCTCCATATTGTAATATACGTGCTTAAATAACAATTATAGTTAGGTGAAAAATTGAAATTCTCATCAATAGGTGTAATACAAACATTTAATAGCAATTTTCTGATTTAGTCAGACAGCGTGGTCTTTCATTAATTAAAATTATAGTAATTTCTTGTTTATAAAATGTGCGCATGTGTTGTAAATGTTGATTTTTCAGAGTAAAAATATAAAACAACTGCTTTTTGTATTCGCTCTTGTGAAATGTAACACTTATCATGTAACATTACCGTAGAACTATTAGAAGATCATAAAAAAATTGATTGCTTGTTTGTTATAAGTAACGGTGAACTAATTTCAAGCATTAACGCCATTAAACTAAAATATGTTGCTTTATTTCGTGGAACTATTAAAATTTTAATGGCGATGTACTCATGATAATATTCCATCAACTTTAAATGCAGTCTACACTTATGTTCTCATAGTATATCTAGCTGAGTCAGAGTCAGTTTCATCATTTCATGCATTAGACATCATCAGTAGTTGAAAACTGTCCAAAGAAGGCTAGAAAAATAACATTAAAGTACTAGCTACTCTGTAAAAATTGCTAAGGTTACTGCACATTTCATGTTTTACTAGTTTACATTGGAAGCCCGTATGTAATCTTCCTATAAAAAGAGTTTCCTTCCTAACTGATGGACTCGCTAGAATGATTCTAATTCACAATGAGGGGTATAAAATAATAATTACTTCCAATTTTAAGTATTAGAAATAATCACTAATTAATACAATGAGAATCAAATAAAGCTGGCCATGGCAGTAAATAGCTTAAAAATTGATATAACCACCCATTTATTAAAAGCCATTTGAGTTCCTAAACTCCTTTATGTTAATCTTAAATCAGTTTTCCATGATTTATAATTAATGAATTCTGAAATATAACTAAATTGACTAACAGTTAGTAATGAATATCAACTTACCCAATCATGATATATAGCATATCAGATATTGCCAAGCTAACAATTTGCTCTTCTGTAACCGTCATCAATTTCTTCTTGCAAATATAGTAATTGAAAAGAGTTAGATTGAATATTAATCCCAACAACAAGAACATCAAATTCACGATGATGATACTAATGCGGGAACTTAGTTGTTCATGTGTGTCGCTTAATTTTGAAAGATTTAAATTGAGATAGCAATTAGTACAGTTATCCATGATAATACCAAAGTTTGATACTCTTTCTTGTCCAAATTATACGTATAACAGCCAAGGTCAATCACGTTTGCTTGTTTCTTTAAAACCCGCTATAAGTATGTAACAAAATAGATTGGTTAGGTCGACCGATCATGTAGTTCTATCCGTTTTACCAGACAAGCATGCTAAGCTCATCAACAGCGTGGCCAATATTGAAAAAACTGTTAAAATATGAAAGTCTGCAACCCTATTAAAGCTGAAATTGAAATAATACCTATTGTTGTCTGGTTTATCTTACTTGTAAAAGCATTTTGCATCTTAATTATTCAAAATGTAGATTTGGACACGTAAAAAAATTATCAATTAGATAAGATAGAATCTGTTATCTAATGCCATGTCGTATTTGATTATATCTGTACCTGGCAAATCGCTTCGTCGTTATCTGTTTACTTATTGATTTTATTCTCATGAGCTATTGTCTAATATTCTATTCCTATTTTGTTTAGATTGACTAAAGAAAAGATAAATGGAACATCACACTATTAAGTAACTGTAATTTATATATTGGATACTTAACTTTTAACTTAGTGATATTACGGAATCCTTATTTGTAACGGAATAAGTGAAAATTTTTATTCGGTAATGAGTATGAGTGGTAAAACTCAAAGGAGTATGTAAGTTAAAGTAATAGGATTCTGTACAATATCCGAATTTGAAGGCCAATTGAATTTACTCACCGTTGCTAATACAGTTTGTGTTAATTAATATATCGTCAAATAGAATTGACCAAATATACATGGTTACTTTTAACAATCGATTCGTATAGTATTGGGCATGTGCGGTAGTATTGATTACGTTAGGTAAGCAGAAAAATAACTGTTATCTAAAAGGATACGTTAGTAATGATTTTTAACAAAAAAAGAAAAAGTAGGAACTTTGCCATTCCTTATAAATACATACATTATGTGCATTATTATTACAATTACTCATTCTTTCATATATTCCAACAATAAGTTTCTGTTATTTATTGTTACGTACAATTATCAGGATGATTTATATCAAGCAAATACAACTAAAGGAGGATTTTTTGCGAGATCCATTCAATATCAATGTCTGCTTAATTCTGTAAGAGTAGTTTCTGTAGTTAGCAGTTAGAATTAGCTTATAAAAAGATGATAGAAATAAGCAATTATAATTGTAATTCTGTTCTCTTTATTGCTCGATTGACGTAACAATAATGTTACCCTTCAAATATTTCGGCATTGCTTCTTCATTTTAATTTTCGATCCTCTTTTTTCACAGTTCTTAAAGGATATTTCTATTGATATCGAACTTTACTGCATTAAATACATGTATGTATGAACAGAAGAAAGAAAAAGAAATATAAGATCTACCATTCGATCGAGCTTAACGCAGATTCAGTATATCGCATTAGACTGATGACCAAGACTAATAAAGTGTTACTTTCACATTCTCATATTCTAAAAGATACAGTGATTTTGGATACATGTTATGGGCTCGGCAATGGGAGAACGAATGACTAATATATCAATTTTTCCATTGAGAATGTTTTATCAAAGGATATTTTCTACTATTTGCAATTGATTTAATCACTGAAATGTAGACAATTTAAACTATTTAAAAAATCAAAGATTTAGCAGTGTCAGTTTTCTCGTATTAAATAATCAAAAATTATTAATTATGAGGAAACAATCAAGAAATCTCATTTCAATCGGAGATTGTGACTACGATATTATATGTTATCATCTTTTACAAATTCTATAGACTAGTAAACAAACATTTCCATGGAAGAAATCAAACATTTTTCAGTGTTATTTAAAAAACTATTTTTGCATAAATGAATCTATCTAATTGTTTGATAAAGAGAAATTGAAATTAATGCTTCGATTCAGAAATTAGCATATGATAATGACTTTTAAGGTCTAGAATTCTATTCAACCATACATTTATTACTTTATATCCTTTATCAATGAAATGACTGACATTAGAAATACAAGAGAAATTAGATCTGTATTAAAAACTAACTACACCCTTAATTAAGCGTGACTAATTAGTTACTATCAAAAGCTAGCAATCGAAAGTTAAAATAGCTTAATCATTAATCCAAAAAATGAGGAATGCATGTAATAGATATGCAAAAAGCATTATACTCGCTTATTATTGCTTGAGTTTATATAAAATTATTCCTTGGATCGCAGTAGTATAATCTAAGTATCAGTTATATCCAATAACGAATAAGATGTATTTGGTATCATTTTCACGGGAAAAAAATAATTTAAGAAAGCGAGTGAATCAGCGTAAAGAAAAAGTTATGTCAAATTAATCATTTATCGAACAATTTATAATTAATAAAATCATAAATATAGAGGTTCAACTGATTAATGAATCAAACACATCCAATAGTGAAGCAGTTGAGATGAAGCCTTTATCTTTTATATGTCTTATTCTTTCAACTATCACTTAAGGATTTCTTCTACGCAGTCAGTAATCAAGCCTTTAATTATTATCGTTTTTCTTTCATAATGATTTATAACTATCTTAAAGCATCTGCTTCATATAACTTCTAATTAGAAAGTATTAAATTGATCTGATAATCCAAAGTTGGGAAAATTAGACAAATAAGTGTGAGACAGCCATCGTAATTGAATCTTTTGCAGTTATCTCATTTTGATATGGTTGATTAGTTTTATATAATTCAAGGCTAACTGTAATCAAAACATGGACATTTTAACTAATTAGTTCAATACAATATCTTGCGTGTTTTACTTGTGTTTGCGATTGACTGTGATAAAAATTCTTGATTACTCATTTCGATAATTGATTAACTTATTAGGAATTTTCTTAAACCCAATGATTTAATGGCTATCAGCCGTTTTTCACTATTGTTTGATTATCTGTATCAAATGCTAAATATTCAGCCATTTTTGTAATAATGTGCTATCAAGTGATAACTATTATTTTCACCCACTTTACGCACGATTAGCCAAGGCATAATTATCTTCAGCCAATCCAGTACTATATGTTACAATTTTGTTAGAAAAATTTCGTAAAATTTGGGTCATGCTTTCTGCAAAATTAACTTTTCCATGTACGTATAAATATTCTTCTTACTCCATCTTGTCGAAAAGTTAAAAAGCTTAAAAATTTATATTGAGCCAAGACAGCAAGTAAGTCAATAAATTGGGAATATGAGAGCTGGTATATTATGTTTCCTATCTGCCAGATTAACACTGGAATAGTAGATTTTGATCACCTTGTTTGCATAGTGTGACCTTACTTAGTCTTACGTCAAAACTAACACTAACGAATAAAACGGCCATGATTTGACCTTCACGATCTATAATTAAAATTAATGCCGTCTATACTTTGGTTTAATTTCCATTTACAATAGAATCCATTCTCAATACATTAATCTATGTAACTTCTTGATTGCTGTAATTCCGGCCAAGATCGGTTGTCATATACGAATATGTATAGTAATTAAATAGAGTATAAAAGCGATTTTGGCTATTTATTTATAAAAAATATTAAATTTTTGGAAATATTTATTTAATTATACAGTTCTTTGGAGGATTACTATAAATTCATCTTAAAAGCCCTAATTTGAATATTCTACGCTTACTACAAATTGTTTGGATATAGTTCCTTCCATAATCTGATATGCAGTCCTGAAGTATTGCAACATCGAGGAGTATTGTGGGTTTATGAAATTAAATTATATCCGCATTATATTAGAGCTATCTATGTAATAAAGCAGCAATAATAACTTAAAATCTTTCCTTAGTATTTCAATACATAATAATTCAGCAGCTATAAATATAGTTGAGACTGTTATATGAATACCGTAAGTATAGTAAAAATCCCTTTACTTCCCGTTGATTTCAATAGAAATAATTCTAAATAATATTTAAAATTTAAGAATTTAATTTTATTAAGACATGAAATTAATAAATTGTCCACGTAAAAAACGTCACCAGGCCTCAATATTAATAGCATCGGTACTAATCATTGCGGAATAAGCCCTAAAAATTTAAGTGATACTAAAACGGAAATGGTTTTAATTGCCAAGATCATGTAAGAATATAGACGCGTAAAATTGTGACACTACAACTACGGAAAAGAGCACTTAAGAGATCTCAACCTGCCGTCTACCAAAATCAAGTTGGAATATGATGGAAATTATGATAAATGACGCATTATTGATAATCATTCGGAGGAAAAATTTTATTTAAGCTTCTATAAAAATCTTCTTTTATTACTGTAGGAATTTGAAAGGGTTAGACTGCGAAGGACTAAATGATAAGCTAACATGCGAAGTTAAGATGCAACGTATTTGGAGAAGATCGTTTCTATTTAAATAAATTAAATTCCCGGATAATTACTGTGAATCTGTGTAGCATAAATTACTTGATCTGAAAATGCAAAGACCCTATCTATAATATAAACTTGAGATTAAGGTAGAAATGGCTTGCTTGTAGTATGCTTCGTTTAGTAATCGAGGAAAGCCAAAATAAGATTCATAACCCTGACCCTAACTTAATAAAAAGACCATTTTCTTTGAGTAAGGATAAGTTAGGTATATTTAAGCTAATTATATTATCTGATTGTTTAATCGCGTATAATGTGCTACTGTAAAAGGATCATAGGTACTAAAAAATAGCTTCTGAACATTTTTCTATGATGCAAAGAAGAAACATGACATTAATTATAGATCAGCTATCTCTGTCATTAAAACTATACGACTATTATAGATATGCTATGTAAGTATGTATGCAGTACAACACTAGAAGTGACAGTAAGCTAACCCCTTGCAATGGTTATGTTGCAAGATTGAAAAAAATTATGCCTTACCACTATTAAAATTTTAAAACCCACAACCGCAACTATGATATAACGAACTTGGTATGTCAAACGATTAAAAAAGCAGTAAATTTTTTCAAGGTTGTGGTCATTACGTAAAATTTTCATTAATTAAAAAATATTAGTAAAGCTCTTGTTTAAAGGAACGAGCAAAAAAGGCTACTATCTGTAGTTTCCTGTTAGCATTGGAGGAATTATACAAAAAAGTATGTTAACATTGAATCAATACCAAAACTCTTACGGGAATGTGTAGCGCAAAATTACGTATTTCCATAACATGCTAACTAGTATTAAAATTAGCGGAATTATATTAATAAATAGATATAAATGATATCGCTATTTCAGATTAAAATACAATAGGTATAATTCATGGCATTTTTCCGAAATAAATCCGTTAAATTTAATTTCGCATATCATCTCCTAGCACTA